TGGGCCTGCCGTGTCAGTTATGAAAGTAAAAATACTGCTTGAGCCCCAGCACCTCTTTCAATACAATTAAGCATTGGTTTAATGTAATGGCAGCCACTAACTCAGTGCTCAATTTTCCTCTACCGCAAGTGGACTTATGCTCTCACCTTTTCATGTGAAAGGTGTGTCTAGAGGGATCTTCAATGAACTGCTCTTTATTACCTAATCATAGAAGTGTAGGACTGAAAGGAACCTCAATAGATCATCTTGTCCAGTCTACTTCACTCAAAGCAGGACTAAGTAATAACTAATCCATTCCTGACAGTATTTTCTAACCTGGTTTTAAAAAACTCCAGTGACAGGGATTCCACAACATTCCCAGGCAATTTATTCCAATGCTTAACTACCCTGATAGGAAGTTTTTCCTAATGTCCAACCTAAACCGCCCTTGCTACATTTTACCCCCTTGCTTCTTGTCCTATCTTCAGAGGTTAATGAGAACAATTTTTCACCCTCCTCCTTATAACAACCTTTTATGTACTTGAAAACTGTTATCATATCCCCCCTCAGTCTTGTCTTCTCTTCTCCAGACTAAACAAACCCAATTTTTTCAATCTTTCCTCATAGGTTATGTTTTCTAGACCTTTAATCATTTTTGTTACTCTTCTCTAGACTTTCTCCAAATTGTCTACATCAGGGATCGGCAACCTTTGGCATGTGGCCAGTCAGGGAAATCCACTGGCAGGCCAGGATGATTTGTTTACCTGCAGCGTCCGCTGGTTTGGCTGATTGCAGCTCCCACTGGCAGTGGTTTGCCATTCCAGGCCAATGGGGGCTGTGGGAAGCGGCACGGGCTGAGAGATGTGCTGGCCGCCGCTTCCCACAGCCCCCATTGGCCTGGAACGGCGAACAGTGGCCAGGGGGAGCTGCCATCGGCCAAACCTGCAGATGCTGCAGGTAAACAAACCGTCCCAGCCCGCCAGCGGAATTCCTTGACGGGCTGTGTGCCAAAGGTTGCCGAACCCTGCTCTACATCTTTCCTGAAATGTGGCGCCCAGAACTGGACACAGTACTCCAGCTGAGACCTTATCAGTGTGGTACAGTAAACAATCAAGGCAGTACATTAAACATCTACCACTCAAAGAAATAATCAGCACATTTAATCTTTATTTATTTTTGGTCAAGAGTGAAAAATCTGGTCAGACACCTTTTTCTTTGCCCTGCGACACAACTATCAATTACCATTGTACATGTTTAGAGCCTTAGGAAAGGACAATATTAAATGTATCATTTTAATCTATACAGTTAAGCAAAAGTGGCTCTTTCAGCCCTTGCATAATATCACAAGACAAGACATGGGTGGGGAGTCAGTAGACCTAGAGTTGTTGGCACCTTCCTTATTCTTGCACATTGAACGCGACTGATCTTTGGCAGTTCAAGGCTGCATCTGAAAAACAAATATTAGGCAACACTCAGTTTCAGGGACTGCATTCCTGCTTTTCCATGCAAACCCAGCCGAAAAGGTAAGTGGGGCTGGATTCAACCCAAACATTCCAAAGCAAAAAACACAGAATACTAGAACACTAGTGGTTTTGAATGTGTAAAATGTCAAAGATTCGCTGTGGTTTGGCTTGGAAGGATTTGATTTTTATTGGTAAATGTTAATTTCACACAAACTGATGAAAAAATATTTCCATCTATAATAATAGAAATTTATAGACAGGCAAAGTAAGAAAAATGCTGCCTAAGAACTTATCAGTTTGATTTAAAAATATTTAGTTTTTATATTTTGACGTGATGTCGATAGTTTGTGTTAGCAGTTATAAAATTTTAACTTTTTAATTTCAGTGTCTACTATTATTAAATAATTGTCAGACCCCCCCTTCCATAATTTTGCACAACTGTGAAAATTTAAAGTGTTAAAAATAAAAAGAATGCTTCAAAACTAACACTGATATTACCTATCAAAATTATAAAAAAATAATAATTGAATTATGCTATGCCTATCTCTGGTTCATGGTTAGGAGGGACAAGGAGAAAACAGAATGTTTTCAAGGCAGTTCAATGACACTGAGGCAAATAGCTTTGTAAGATTTCAAAAGGCATTTGACATTTCTGTGAATATTTATGGTATCCTAGTGCAAAATGAGACCATTTTCTCTTTAAGGAATTACTGAAGTATCTTTAAATGTGAGAGATATGGAAAAATTTTAGATTCTTTTATGTTTGTTAGCAACAAATGATTAATCTTATAAATTAAAAGGATGAGGATGATTTAATTGGTTCTCAAACTCGAATTAATCAGTTGGTCGTTTTCTTCAGAAAGATTAGTGCCAGTGCATCACGCTTTGTATGAGAATTCTTCAGCCCTTGTGGGAGTCCAGGACATGCTAGGAAGTAATCACACTTTGAAAGGTAAAGCTGAAAGTATTATTATTACCTCTGCAGTGAGCCAAATCCTGAGCACTCTCAACTCTTTTTGATATCAGTGAGGGATGCAAGTGCTTTGCAGATTTCACGATTTGGCCCAGACTTATGAAATGTTTTGATCAGCTCCATGTGCCAATTCTTCTTGCATACCATGGCTGGTTTATTGGAAGCTGAGAAGTTTTCTGTCAGCCCCATGTCTCACCCAAGCAGTAGTGTGTTATTCTGCAGTGTTGGTTTTCAGTTTTTTTGCCTACTCCTTCTTCTGCAAACCTCGTAATTGTTTCCTTTGTAATCCTCCGTTCTCTTGTCTTCCTCTTTTATTCTGGTCCACTGGTCATTCTTCTGCAATGTCTGTTGGCAGTTAAGAAACCATCTGCATGAGGCAGAACTTTGTCATACGTTCTGATACATTCTGTCCTGGTCCTACACCTAAAACTTATGTCAAACTAGCTAGGTTGCTCACACCCCTAAGCCGGGCCGCCGAGAGTGGGTTTGGGCCCCAGTGAAAAAAAAATTTCGGGGTCCCCAGCAAAGACGGACTGGCTAAATAGGGCCGACAAGAGGGGGGGAAGCCGGGCCCCGGGCCCCCTTCCAAACCGCCAGGCCCCCTTCCGGACTGCCGGGTCCCGGACCAGCTAAACAGGGCCGACGGGGGGCGGAGGGGGAAGCCGGGGCCTGGGCCCCCTTCTGGACCGCCGGGCCCTGGTAATTTGTACCGGCTTCTCCCCCTCTCGTCGGCCCTGCCCCTAAGAGATGTAGTTAAACCAACCGATAGGTTGATAGAAGAATTCTTCTGTTGACCCAGCTACTGCCTCTTAATGAGGCAGATTTACTACAGCAATGGAAAAACCCCTTCCGTCCGTGTAGCAAGTGTCTACTCTACAGCAGTTGCATAGCTGCAGTAGTGCTTTGTAGTATAGTCATACCCTAGGAGACAATGGAGATGTGATCTCAGAGTCCCAACCATTCCCCAGAAATTTTCTCATTTGACAAGATTTGGGGTTATTTATCATTACAATCTGTATTGCTCTAGTTTAGCACCCCATGAATTGTTACTTTTTCGAGGTGAACAAGGTTTCTTCCTGTCCATATTGCATTTGGGACAAGGGAGATAGTTAGAGTGATATGATGTTGTTCACAAGATCTTGTGATGACATAGTTTTTCTACACACAGGGCATAAAGCGTACCATGAAGCAAGCCAGCAATGGTCTAATCTAATACAACACATTCTCTGATTCTCTCGTGTACACCCAAGAACTAATGCCAAAGGGTTTGTGTGTGCTGGGACTAAAGATTCAGCATTGGCCCAAACACTGAATTTGCTGCAAGAGGTGCTGGTTTGTATCTCGCCCTTAGGTTAGGTCTACACTAGAAATTTTTGCCAGTTTAGGGGTGTGATTTTTTTAAACAACGTTTCTATACTAACAGTTATAGTAGCATACAAGTTCTTTTCCTGGCACAGATTATTTCACGTGGGGAACAGGTGCAGAAGCACTCTTTTGCCGGTATAAGATGTGTTTCCACTAGGAGGGTTTGCCGGTATGGCTATACCAGTATGGCTAAGCCGGCAATATGTTTCTGCTGTAGCCCTGGCCTTAGTGTTATGTACAGGACAGGGCTCCCCAGTGTAAAGACAGACAGACAGGCCTATCTCCCCCTCCCCACCACTCCTTCTGTTATGAGCGACAAAGTGGCACATGAGGAATGTCACTTAGGTCAATCCAGGAGGCCTGAAAGCCAGACCTGGGGCTGGGGTTGTGACGGGGGTTCTCAGCATGGGCCCTCTTGGCACCCCTGCCCGTGGCACTGTGTGGTCCCATCCCTTCTCCCAACGTGCCACTTCCTTGCCTGTTTGTCATGGGGGAAGGAAGGGGTGTGGGCTTTGGCTGTTCCCAGGAGAAATTGCTCCCCCTAACCCCATCTGGCCAGGGAGGGATCCCTAAAGGGGAATGACCCTTTCTCCTCCCTCTGCCCTGCCCCCCCTTCTTCCTCTCCCTCTCCCTCCTGCCCTGCCCGTCCCCTTCTCCTCCTCCTCTACCCCGCCCGCTTCTGCCCTGGCCCCTCCTCCTCTCTTCCTCTTCCCTGCCCGCCCATCGGGCCACGGGGCCGCTGTCCCCCTCCCCCTCGCTCGGGGCCCTGCGCCGGCGGGGGGGCGGGCAGGAGGAGGAGGCGGGGCTTGCGGCTGGGCCCGCCCCCTCCGCGCCGGACCGGCCGCTGAGCTCGGCGCGGGCGGGATCCGAGTTTATGCCCCGGCGCTGGGAGCGGGGCGGCCGGGTGAGTGACCCCTGCTGGGAGCAGGGTGCGCGGGCGGCTTAGCGAGGGGCTCCGGTGGGGGGAGGAGTAAGTGGGGGTCCCGGTGGGGCCGCCCCGGGGAGAGTGGGGAGTCCCCGCGCAGGGGGGATGCGCCCCGGGGAGAGCGTCAAGACAGGGATCCTGATGGGGTGCGCGAGCCCCAGGGAGAGCAGCGGGAGGGGGGATCTTGGGGAGTGGGAAAGGGAGACACCCCGGGGGGAATGCGGGGCCAGGGATCCCCCTGGCAATGGGGAAAACACCCCGATAAGGGGGCTGCTTCGGTGGTGGACCCCAAGGAGAGGGGGTTGGGGATCCTGTTGGGGATGTAGGCGACGCACTCGGGGAGAGTTGGTCTCACTCTGAATTGTTGTCAGACTTCTCAATTAACTTTGTCAGCGCTTCTATAACTAAGCCTCCAAATCTGCTCTGTCCAAAAATCCTCCCTGCCTTGTTCTCCTTCAGCCCCCCAGTGCCTTATACATAGAGCCTCCATTGCCAGAACTGCTTGCTGTCCCAGCTCGTCGCATCCCTGCTCTGTCTAACCCACTTATAAACTTCTGCCAGGCGTCTTAATAATTGATAATAATCCTGAATGGTGGTTCCCCCTCTCAGCACCATTTTGCTTGGTCCAGGTTGGGGTGAAATTAGGAGGGGCAGTGGTATTTAAAGATTATCTGTTATTATAGATTTAAACTCTATGAAAAACTGGTCTGTTTGGTTTACTCATGTGAGATATGAAATCTGGAGTTTAAGGTCATTGAAATTTACGATATTGGTGCAAACTCATCACTGGTTTTGAATAGAACTTGACTCATCTGGTTACTTTATCCCAAAACACCTTCCAGGGCTAAATAAGCAATAACAGCAGAAAGATCTGTTTGAGAGAGACAAAGGCAAGAGAGAATAAGTTTATAGATGAGACTTGAAAATAGATAAGAGTATCACAGTGGCAGATTGAGTGCCTGGAGCTGTAGTGGGACTGATAAGTACTAGATTTGGAGAGAAGGGAAGATGCAGAAGGCACCGGTCCCTTCCTATTTTAGATCCTGGTCAGTTAAATTCTGATAGTTTAAGTGGGAAAAGATCAAATTGGTGATTTAAAAAGAAATAATTTCACTGTTGGTAGGAACTGCAATGTCAAACCTGATCAAAAAAGGTAGGGCTGAGGCGCTTGATAAAATTGTCCAACCCTGTAAATAAACATGGGATTTCTATTTTTTTCTGCTGTACATGCATTATAAAAAACATTCCTTTTTTAAAAAGCAGTATTAAACCGAATTCTGCAGATATATTCTGTACGAGGCAATGTGGCCTGAGTCTGATGAGACCTGGGTTTTATTCCCAGTTCTGCCACAGCTTGCTAGGCCTGGGTCACTTCCCTTTCTGCCAGAGTTTTCCCCATCTGTAAAGTGGGGATAATGCTACTGACTTCCGTGGTAAAATGCTTTGAGATCTACTGATGAAAAGTGCTTTATAAGAGCTAGGTATTATTATAACCTCATTGTAATTTACTGTCATCTTGAAAAACATAAATAATACATTTGTGTTGGCTTCTAAAATGAGAAAAACAGGCCTCAACAGCCCTAGTGTATCAAGATGGGACACTGTCTCAAAGAGAGTACGGCTGTGACTGTGGATAGAAGACATTCAAGCTTAAGAAAAAAAAATGTTTGAATGTTTTTGTTTGATCTGTTTCACGTCTCACCATGTTTATTCTCCCCCCGCTCCTCCTCCACCCCCTCACCTATCCTTTGTCCAAGGTAAATGTTGGCTTTCTGTGTGCTAGTTTGTTCAGTTCAGTGTCTGGCAGGATTCATTTACAGATGTCTTCTGTTCATGTGAAAACCAGACAGCTTCTCTTTTTCTGGTGGAGCTGGGACATTCCCGGCATTTAGTCAGAGAGGGCCATGTGATGTGAGCTGGCCTTAAACGGGCCAGGAAATTTCTTTGGGGAGAACCTCCCCTGCTGGTGTTTTATGCAGAATCTGCACATGACTGTAGCACTATGTATCTGTTTAACTTGCCTGACTAACAGTGGGCTAGAGAGAGGTCCTATTTAAGAGATGAATTGCTGCTTTTCCTTCCCTGGTCCATACAAAAGCTTTTGTTTTAGTTAGAAATGTTTCTTTTAGATCATAGCAAGCTTGGTCTGATGAAAAGTTCTTGATTGACAGTCCTGGAGACTAAACTCAAACATCTACAGAATAAATCCAGCTCTCAGGTCTGACAGGGAAGTCATCTCTGTCCATGGTATATGTACAGCCATGTTCTCATAGATGAGCCATCCGGTTACTGTATTAGATGCAGAGGAAGACACTGTTCACCCTTTTATATTACATATGAAATAGACAAAGACCAGACACACACACACACTCCATTCGTCCTCATGCTCTACTGGGTAAGTGTTTGTGAGCATCATGGAAGTAGTGAAACATTGCCTGAATTCAGCTCCCAAATTTATTGCTGAAATGTCATATTGTTACTGGGACAACACAGAGGTGCCTATTTATGGCCTAGTTCAGAATTCAATGGAACTACACATTTGCCTAAAGTTAGACATATGTTAAAGTATGTTGCTGAATTTGAGCCTATATCTCTTCTGAGTGGTCTAACCAGCACAGAATTAGGGTTACTGATCAAAACAGTAACTGGTATGCTTCATAGGAGAATGTCACGGTTTTTTTGCAAGAATTGGAGCTCAATCTTATACATACATGATCTTTATATTGGTTCTGGAATGTTACTGCAGTAGCTGTCTTCTCATTATTTCAGTGACATTGGATTCCCCCAGTCTCTCTACAATTGTGGATGGACTCAGGCCCGCCAACGCAGGGGGCAAAGGGAACAATTGCCCAGGGGCCTAGGCAATTTAAAAGGGCGCGGCGACCCTTTTAAATCGCTCGGGCGGGCCGCAGGCCTCCTAGGCACGTGCGTGGTGGTACCAGCGGCGGTGAAGGCAGCCGGGCGGGCATGTGGAAGCCCTGGCCGTGCCGAAAGAGCGTGCCCAGCAGCGTAGCTGGCAGCAGCTCACTGGGCACCAGCCAGGGCAGGCGCAGCACCGCCCAAATGTCAGGCAGACTGCGTCCATGTGGGCGTGGCTTGTGCGTGTGTGCTCCAGCCGCCGCACGTGGTCCAGCTCCGCGCTCATGTGGCGACTCCACGCCGGGCCCGGGGGCCCATTGACTGTTCTGCCCTGGGGCGCGGAATTGCTGTCGGCGGGCCTGGATGGACTGTTTGGTACAGGGTAGTTTTTGCCTCCAGTAACTACAGGTGAAAGGGCATGTTTTCCAAAGTATTGCTTTTACACTTAGACATTTTAGGCTGGATTTTCCAGGGAGCCTAAAATTGTTAGGCCGTAACTCCTAATTAATTTCAATAGGAATTGGGTGCCTTTGAAAATCCAAACTTCTCTTTAGGAAGTTTGCTTGTGCACTCAGGGCTCTTATTTTGGAATAAGTGTGTCTACAAACTGAGTTACACAGGAATAGCTATTGAACTTTAAATTCACACCATGCATTAATCAGAAAGAACTTTCAAGTATAAATTAGCTTTTAGTGTTTAAAAGTGGCTGCATAAAACTGCACAACTGTTGGTGCACAAAACTGGGTGTTTGCACATTTAAGTGGGTGTTTGTGCACATATAGTTTAGGTAGCCAATCTTGACATCTGGAGTCTGGATTTTGGAAAGCAAGCAGGATTTTCTTTCTGCTTGTAAGCGCAAACTTGACTTGAGTTTAAGGTTGTAATGAATTGTTTGAGCACATAAGTGAGTTAATATTCCCATTACTGTTCTCTCACTGTCAAAGTGACCATGCTCTGGGACGGTTACATGGAAATCCACGCCAGCAGAGACCGCTTGCTGCAGTTCCTGGTTCCATGAGGCTAGTCTACTAGGCAGATTGCAGCTAATGGTTTAGTAAAAGGGGAAAATGAATCCCCTGTCTCTTTAAACTGACTTATATGTAATCTGGATATTGTACAAATTTTAAGCTTGCATAACTAGAAAACGTCCCCTTATCTGATTTTAAGACCGGTGCTTGTGGTAAATCTTTCATGACAGAGGGATATCTATGACCGTTTCTCTTACTTCACAGCATTTGTAATGGATCTGAAGCAATTAAGCACTCCTCAAAGACCATATTCAGGCTGAAAGGAACTGGTAAGACTGAATTCTGTGCATGGACATTGGTCATATAAAAATAACGTCTTCTCAAAGTAAACAGACTTTGGAAACTCCTTTTCTGAAATGAAATGCTGTGCTCGCTGTACTTAACTGAAGTTTTCTTGTCCTCTAGCGCTGAACGGAAAGAATTCAAGTTTTATGCTAGTTGGCTTGGGCTGACTGGTTACAGAAATAATACAGAGCAGCATTTTTTGTCAGAAATGAGTGTAACTGGATAAAAATTCTGCCACTACCCAGTGTCCTTTCACCCTTCTAGGCAATGCCTATCTTTTTGATGAAAGATCCTTTTCACACCACATAAGGAAAGCTGTTATACAGATGCATACAAAGACTTTGTGTAAGTCAGTCCACTAGTATGACCACAATTTACCAGCAAAATCATTTTCCCTTAGACCATGATTCTGCCGTCTAGACACTATATAGTGGTCAAAAGATGTATAAACAGATGTCACTTAGGATGTCTGAATCCAAGAATACCGAACAGGAATAAATAATATAGTTAGCTGTCATTTCAGAGTTTTCTGACAGAAATTAGGAATAACTCCAAGGTTGCTGCGAGCCCTCTGTGATTTTTGGAGAAGAGGGGATGAGAGAGATTTAGATTACTGTGATGTAGGAAAATAGTGAGCCTGTTTAAGAAGTTTGTAACTCTTACAAGTAGTTTGGAGATTAATTTGAAAAACAAAATGTCAGCATTTTACTGTACTCATTCATAAAAGGGTTTTGGCAGAATGATTCTTAGTTCATATTTGTGGACAGATCAATTGGAATAAAAGGCTTCAATCACAAATACAGTGTGCGCTTATAGTGCACACTGTAGACACATACACTGTTTATCCTTGCTGACTTTAAGTATTTGTTTTATGTGCACACGCTATAAATAACAGCCAACTAGAATTTTGCAATACCATGTAGGAGGGCACGTTATCAAGTGGGTGCTGGATGAGGCAAGGGTCATGAATTCTAAGGTCTCTTTTGGAACTGACTTGCTGTGTGACCTTGGGTAACTTACTCTTTGTAAATTTCCCCGTTGAAAAATAGGGATCAGAATACATTCTTCACAGAGTTGTTATGAGGCTTAATTAATCAATGTTTATAAAGCATTTAAAGATATGTGAATGGAAGGCATTATCAAATAACTGTGTATAGTCATAGTTCTTTATGATAATCTTAGTGTTATCCTGCCAGATATGAGACTAGCATAAGGGAGAAGTTCAGAATCATTAGGGATGTATTAGATCAGTACAGTAGTGATACTATAGTTTAGATGGAGATTTAATAGACTCTGGTTTGTGGATTTACACTTCTAGAGTAATTAAGAGGGGATGCCCTTATGTTAAATGTAAGATGGATGTATATTTGGGTCTAAAATGAAGCACACCCCAGCCAGTTAATGTGGGCAGGGCTGCTGGAACGATTTGTATAGTGGGGGTGCTGACAGCCATTGAACCAAAGTGTAAATCCTCTATATGATGGAAACCACTTCAAGCCAGGGAGTGCGGCAGCACCCCCAGCACCTCTAGTTCCAACACCTATGAATGTGGAACCTAAATTTGGATTCCCCGTGTTAGAGCATATAGTGCTGTCACTGGACACTGTGCTGGGCAGGTGTTTGTTTTTGTAACAGTTAAGTGAAAAGAAAGCCTTTGTAACAAACATAAAAAAGTTGCACTGTAGTCTTCAGAAATGGACTTGTATTGGGTTTCATTTAGTCATAAATAAGCTACTGTTTTCCTCTTTGTCTCATTACTTGGAACATTTTAAAACTAGACTGGGCAAAATGTTAATAAATAGAGAACAACCCTGAAATGTTAGGGAGGTGACCGAGACAGGACACTGTGCCTCAGTGGGTCACAGGACCTAATAGGTATTTTTTATTTCTGGATTCAATGATTGTTCACAGAAGATCAGGCTTTTTTGTAAACCGCACTTTCATGAATCAATTCATTTCTGATTGACCGACATTAATCTACTAATTTAACTGGTTGACACAGATTTCATTGAATATTATAATAATAATAGTATTTGTGGTGAATTGGCTGTGTCTTCCTAGGCATTTTTCTTAAAATTAACCACCATTGCACTAGCACTGGTAAGCTCTACTGGTGGTAGAATTGTGGCTGGCTAGTATAGACTAGCTGTTGGTGTTTTCACCATTATTTCTAATCTCCTCAGCTGCATCAGTGCTAAGTGGAAGATTTGAAGAAAAATATAATTGGAGACAGTTTCCCCCAATTCTGTTGCCAAAGAAAGGGTCATGTGTGCTTTCAGATGCACAAAAACCTCTATTCTGTTTGATTTAGTGGTTAGCAAACCAGCTTTGCAACTCATGTAATTTGCAAGAGGCCAAGAGTTATTTAATTTGTCATCTCATGCGACTAATGCTTAAATCTACAATAATAATGAGTCACATGGTTATCATATTACATTAACTTCTAATTATCATGTTTATCTTCAGTGGTATTGTTTGGAGGATTTTAAAAAAATACAGGTATTGTATATAGCTGTGAATATTATAGTAAAGGCTGCAGCTCCGCTTCCACAGTAATCCTCTTTTCACTCACAGCTTTCTCAACCTTTTTGGGTTGAAACTTTCCATTCTTGGCCTCAGTCTAAAGGTGAGAGTCTCTTGAAAGCTTGAATTAAAATCCATTCAGCCATTTGAGTATGTGTATAAATGAGAGAAAACATACTTCCACTGTTGTCTTTTTGTGCCTGCCCAAAAAGCGAGTGATGTATCCCTCCTGCTGATAGGTGGAGATAGGAAAACAAGTCTTACAGTGTTGCCTTTGCTGCTAAATAAAGGGTTTGTTGATTGACATGCTCCCGTGTGGGAGAAGCTCCAGCTAGTTGCTCTGAGGCTCACAACATAAGAATGGCTGTACTGGGTCAGACCAGTGGTCCATCTAGCCCAGTATCCTGTCTTCTGACATTGGCTGGTGCCAGATGCTTCAAAAGGAATGAACGGAACAGGGCAATTTATCGAGTGATCCATCATCTATCTTCCATTCCCAGGTTCTGGCAGTCAGAGGTTTAGAGACACCCAGACCATGGGGTTGTGTTCCTGGCCATCTTGGCTAATAGATATTTATGGACCTATCTTCCAGGAATTTATCTAATTCTATTTTCGACGCAGTTAAATTTTGGCCTTCAGAACCTCCCCTGGCAATGAGGTCCACAGGTTGACAGTGCATCGTGTGAAGTATTTCCTTATGTTTGTTTTAAACCTGCTGTCTACTAATTTCATTTCATTGCTAGTGCAATGGTGGTTAATTTCATTCTTGTGTTATGTGAAGGGGTAAATAACACTTCCTTATTCACTTTCTCCACACCATTCATGATTTTATAGACCTCTATCATATCCCCTGTTTAGTTGTCTCTCTTCTAAGCTGAACAGTCCCAGATCTTTTTAATCTCTCCTCATAGGGAAGTTGTTCCATACCCCTAATCATTTTTATTGCCCTTGCCTGTACTTTTTCCAATTCTATTATTTTTTTTTTAAATGGGGTGACCAGAACTGCATGCCATTAAACATGCGGGTATAGCATGGATTTATATAGTGGTGTAACAGGGTTGGCACCCACCTCTCAAGTGCCCCCTTCTAGTTAGGCATGTCTGTGTTCTTTAGTTCTGGTGACCCCCTTTGGTGGTTCTCAGGTGGGTTTGTCAGTGACAGTGCTCAGGTTCAGTCACACGGTCTGCCTGTTAATCAACACAACCCCCTTCCAGGGTATATAGTCCACCAGGGCCTATCTCAGTGCCCTTCTGGTGGTGTCTCTCTCTAGTCCTTCCTGGGCTTTGGTCTTTAAGTAGTTCAGCCTTGGTATGGGGCTCTATCCCCAGGGATTCCTCCCTAGAGACGCTATCTTCCTGCAGCCTTCCCCAGACTCAGTCCCTGCTCCGTCCTAGCAACCAGCCAGGAGCTCCCTCAATGCTCCCCCAGTCCCTGCTAGCAAACCATCCATGACACTGCTGCTCTTTCAGGCCTGCAGTCCTTTCTTCTCCTGCTCCTAGCAGCAACTAAGCACTGTGCTGCAATTCCTTTTATATGGCCCTCCTGGGCCCTGATTGGCTGCTTCCCCTGCAGCCACTGTAGCCTGCTTGGAGGACCTCTCCACTGCTTCTTCCCTGGGATGGGTGTGGCAGAACCCTGAGGCCTCCAGCAGGGGGCCTTTTGGCCTAGTCCACCCAATCACAAGTGGCATTATGATATTTTCTGTTTTATTATCTTCCTAATAGTTCCTAACACCCTATTAGCTTTTGACTGCTGCTGCACATTGAACAGGTATTTTCAAAGAACTAACCCCAAGATCTCTTTCTTGGGTGGAAACAGCTAATTTAGACTCCTTTATTTTGTATGTATAGTTGGGATTATGTTTTCCAATGTGCCTTATTTCCCAGTTATCAACATTCAGTTTCATCTGATATTTTGTTGCCCAGTCACCCAGTTTTGTGAGATCCCTAAGTAACTCTTTGCAGTCAGCTTTGGACTTATCTTGAGTAATTTTGTATCATCTGCAAACTTTGCCACCTCTCTGTTTACCCCTTTTTCTAGATCATTATTGAATATGTTGAACAGCACTAGTCCCAGTACAGATCCTTGGGGGACCCCACTATTTACCGTTCCACTGTGAAAACTGACCATTTATTCCTACCCTTTGTTTCCTATCTTTTAACCAGTTACTGATCCATTAGAGGACCTTCCCTCTTATCCTATGATTGCCTATTTTGCTTAAGAGTCTTTGGTGAGGGACCTTGTCAAAAGCTTTCACAACGTCCAAGTATACTATATCCACTGGATCACCCTGTCCACATGTTTGATGACCCCTTCAAAGAATTTTAATAGATTGGTGAGGCATGATCTCCCTTTGACTCTTCCACAACATATTGTATTCACCTATGTGTCTGATAATTCTGCTCTTCGCTCTTTCAGTCAATTTGCCTGATACTGAAGTTAGGTTTACTGGCCTGTAATTGCCAGGATTGCCTCTGGAGCCTTTAAAAAAAATCAGCATTGCATTAGCTATCTACCAGTCATCTGGTACTTTCTATTTCTTGAAGTTGTTGTTCTCCCCTTTCCCTTTTTAAAAAACAAAACAAAAAACAAAACAGAAACAAACTAAATCAATATTAACGAATCAATAAGGCTGCATATTTGAACACTCAGGAAATGCAAAAATTAGCATGTTCACAGCAACATTAACTCACCCACATTGCACAGAAGCATTTTGGGATAATTACACCGTTCAGTGTGCACCTTAAAATACAGCGTGTGCAATGCAGATAAATTAATGTTGCTCCCAGAACCATATTTTTTCATTTCTATACATTTTTGTGTTTAAAATTGCAAACTTAACATTGCTTTACCTAAGGGTTGTTGGGATTTTTTTGCGGTGTGTGGGTCCCCCCCCCCCCAATTTGATAATAATAGATGTAAAATGAAATCACTGGTGATGGACATTATTTAGGTCTGTTTGACTTTTGCAGGCAGTTAGTTCCATGTAATAATGTCTTTGTTCACTGGGGTGTATCAGCAAGTACTAGACGTTCAGCACGCTGACATATGGAAGTGCTTGGATAGATGATTCTTTACATAAAATGGTTATGAAATATTTTTTTAACCAATTGAAGTAATGACCACACTGATGAGTCTGTCTTTCTATTCCTAATATTTACGCTGTGCTCACTATAGTCTATTCTGTCTTTCTTGTCTGTCTGTTGTATTTCTCATGCACCCAGCATTGCAAGAAACACCAGTTAAGTTTGTAGGCTTTTGACTGTGGAGTTTGTAAAATATTTTCAGTTTAACTTTACAGTCGGACTAATTGGAGTAAGTAGCTCACATTGGGCTGAGCTGCAGGCTAAATACCTTGTGATATTCACTGCCATAAATGTGTGTGGGATGTTCCATTCAAAAGTGTGACTAGCCCAGTCTGTCAGTGACTTGGGTTTCTTCTTTCAATGAAGTATTTGTGGTTTTTCTCTGTGTTTCTCCTTTGTCTCCCCACCCCCTCCACTCCTTCCCTCTGCCCAAACCACCATACAGACACTTCATGCAGAAACCCAACCAGTCCTCTTTATATGCAGAGAGAGGAAATTTACCAAATAGCTATTTCAGTTTCTCAATAATTCCAAATCTCTCTTTGAGGATTTAGCTGACTGAGGCTGAGGCCTTTCCCTCATGCCCTTTTTATTATGGCCATGGCTTTTAGTCGTCCTTTTGTCTTTGTTTTTATTTACAGAAAAAAAATCGGGTACTTTGAAAATATACCCCTAAAATTAGAATTGCACTGGATCTCTGAGTGGATTAGTTCATTGGTTTCAATGGGTGTCAGGTGGCTAAAATACTCTGCTCTCTAAGAACTTGAATGTGTACTTGAACTGACCCAGTTCAATATAATTGATCAAAATATTATAACCTTCCATTGCTATTGAACAATGGAATAGTTCAAGTTTGGTGGTGCAATCACTGGAGGTTAATACAAAACAGAAGTTCCAAAGTGAAATACATTGCAGTGTAATATGGAGTAACTGAACTAATAAGAATATATTGATTCCTAATTGGAACTTCATTATAGATGTGCATTGAATACTGCTAGTTGGAAATGGAGGCCACTTTGAAGATTAAATGCTATCACGGCTTCTGGTGTGATGGGCAGGTCTGGGTAGTTCAAGAAAGCAGATACTTCACCATTTACATTTTTTGCATTGTCAAAATTATCACCCAAATCCTGCCTGAACGTCCTAGAGACAATTAGTCTGAGTTGTTTGTCTGTATTAACAGACTATTAAACACAACTATGGACATGGACCATGGCATTAGAGGCCAGTGGACTGCACGTTGGCCACCCCTGCTTAAGAGCCTTCAAACACAGAATGAAGAGGTGTAGATAATGCGCCCTGTAAACTGAAATTAGTTCCACAGCTGAACCATTTCTACAACTCCAAAGAGCAGTGTCTTGTAACAGACCATAGGAGAAACAACCTGTCTAAACTCCAAAGTCTGACTCCCGCTTCACCCACGTGTACACAGTTTCTAAGAGATTCATCCTGAAGTAGTAGTAGTAATAAACATTTTATAGCTCTTTGCAAAGTGTTAATAAGGTGAAAGAATTCCCAGTGAGAATCCTGTAATATATTCTCAGCAAGCCTAGCTCAAATATGCTTCTGCTAATTAATTCAGAAGTTGACATTACGTAGAATATGAGTTCTGCATTTGTTAATGTCTGAACTACACATTGAAGGTGCAAATTACTATATAAATGAGGAGGAGGGATAGCTCAGTGGTTTGAGCATTGGCCTGCTAAACCCAGGGTTGTGAGTTCAATCCTTGAGGGGGCAATTTAGGGATCTGGGGCAAAAATCTGTCTGGGGATTGGTCCTGCTTTGAGCAGGAGGTTGGACTAGATGATCTCCTGAGGTCCCTTCTAACCCTGATATTCTATGATTCTGTTTTTGTTATTAGTAGAGCTAACCTGGTAAAGAGGTGTGATCTGGTTTTGAAGGTGGAGGACTGGGAGCTAGAAACTCTGGACTTCTAAAACCACCTCTGACTTTGACTCCTTTTTGGCATTGAGCAAGTCAGTTTCTGGCTGAGTTTCACCCTATGTAAAATATGAGCGATAATATTTAATTCATCCTTGCTAGCCGTCTGTGAAGGAAGTAATGTTTGCAAAAGGCTCTGAAGCAGAAGAATGCTGGGTAAGCACCAAATTGCATACATATGTTAGGACTGGTCTACATTGGGGGGGGGGATCGATCCAAGATACGCAACTTCAGCTACGCGAATAGCGTAGCTGAAGTCGAAGTATCTTGTATCGAATTACCTGGGGTCCACATGGCACGGAATTGATGGCCGCGGCTCCCCCGTCGACTGCGCTACCGCCACTCGCTCTGGTGCAGTTCCGGAGTCGACGATGAGCGTGTTCGGGGATCGATATATCGCGTCTTAATAAGAAGCGATATATCGATCCCAGATAAATTGATTGCTACCCGCCGATACGGGGGGTAGTGAAGACATACCCTTAGAGATGTCTTTTTCAGGTTGTTTTTGATTTGCTTGTCTGCTCAACTATTTTGCTTTCACAAATTGAGGAAGCAAGTTCTTATTATAAGAATGTTCTTTATTATGATCACCTTGCTCATATATCGTCTGCAGTTCAATCTACAGTAGGAGAAACCTGTTGGTGGGAGCATCATGTCATCTAGTACCCATATTTCCAGTTAAGATGCTTGTTTCTGTTCCTTTGATTGGATATAATTTGCTTGAAATCCAAACTTTCTTTTTCTTTTAAAAAAAAAATGGAAAAGTGCATGCAAAGTGTTCCTGTGCTATATCACGGGCTGAAACAAAACCATTTGGATAAAGATTGCTGCTTTTTAGATAACAAGTGAAGCTCCAGTATAACTGGCTGGCATCCTAACTGCACTGGAAAGAAAACATTAATGAAAGACTTAGACCTCAACTGCTATACCAGAAATTGAGTTGCAAGGGGTGTGGTTCACAAACTGAATTGTAATGAATGTTCAGCTCGTACAGCCTACTGTTTCTAATTTTGCTGAATAGAATAGACCAGACACAGTGAGTGAACTCATCAAGGAAGGTGCTCCAAGAAAAAAGTGTCGTTATGGTGGTGTGCATATGTCACAGTTGGGCTGATTACACGAAAAGAAGCATGTTCTCTTCTTGCAGTACATGCATAGCTGTTTTTTAATCAGAGTCATATTCATGGAGGGGCTTTGTCTGATCATAAACAAAGTTTATTTTGTGACAATAAAAGGAATCAGATTAGGTTTATAAAGCCACCTATGCCTGGCTGAGGACGGGAATAACAGCTGATGCTGCTGGGCAAGATTGAGTTGTATCACAACAGGTCGTGTGGAACATTTGCAGAGACCTTGCTTGTACAATTGTTGGCTTAAGCTAGTACTATTAGTCCTTGCCTTTCATGAGAATTAAATTCACTGCCATTAAAAAAAAAAAGAAGTCTGGAATAATCTATAAATTAGTTTAAGGTTAACTGACTTACCTGATTATGTTTGTGTTGGTAGGGAGCTTTCAGGATGGCAGCAGAAGTGGAACTCAACCATGTCCAATCAACATCTGAAATGGCAGAGGGAGAGGATGACGAACACATTTTTCAACCCATGATGTTCCTGGAGCCTCAACAGACGAGCATTGATATGAAGGCACTTCTGGTCAAGAAAGTGAAGAAAACTTGCAGCTGCACCCCAGCCAAAGTTAAAGACCTGATTTTCAGTTTTCTCCCTGTCTTGCAGTGGCTCCCCAAATATAAACTGAGGGAGTACATCCTGGGAGATATAATGTCTGGTGTGATAGTGGGCATCCTGCTGGTCCCACAGTCCATTGCCTATTCCCTATTGGCCGGCCAGGAACCTATATATGGTCTTTACACATCCTTTTTTGCCAGCATTATTTATTTCCTATTTGGTACCTCTCGTCATATATCAGTTGGTATTTTTGGGGTGCTTTGCCTGATGGTGGGACAGGTGGTGGATCGTGAGGTACAGAGAGCTGGGTATGACATTGAGCCCAGTGTTCATAGTGGCCTTCAGAGAGATATGGTCAGTTATGTAAATATCACCACTTTGGCTGTGAACCAGACATCACAACCGCTGTTATGTGATAGAAGTTGCTATGCAATTACTGTGGGAGCCACGGTGACCTTCATAGCTGGAGTTTATCAGGTAAGAGGGGGCAGGGTAAATGGATATTCTGTGGAAATGCTTCTAATTCTCTTCCTCTCCTCTTAGCTATAGTTTAACTCTTTACTGAAGCCTTCTGAGACCAGCCTAGAGACAGTGGCAGTGTTGTTTATAGCAGTAGTGTCCCACATTGCTCTTCTGGTTAAGGGTCCGACGAGACGCGATAATTCGATCCCCAAGAGATCGATTTCTACCCGTCGATTCAGGCGGGTAGTGAAGACGTAGCCTTAATGTAAATGAAACAAGCACAGAAACAGTTTCCTTCCTTTAAAGAAGAGCTTTGACAAACTTTCCCTTATTCTTTAGTAGTTTATGTTTAAACTCAGTACTGTACTGTATTTGCTTTTTTTTTTTTTTGGTCTCTGCTGCTGCTGGATTGTGTACTTCCGGTTCCAAATGAGGTATGTGGTTGACTAATCAGTTTGTAACTCTGGTGTTTGTAACTCTGAGGTTCTATTGTATACAGACACATAATAAAAGACAAGCTCTGCTCCAAGGTTGCTTGCAGTCTAAGTAGACAAGAGAGAGAGAGAGGGTGAGGGAGAGGAAGTATTATTATCCTCATTTTATAGACAAGAAACTATGAAAGAGAGGAGTTGAGTGACTTTTCCAAGGTTACACAGGGAGTCGGTGATAGAGTCAGGAACTGAACTCAGCCCTCGAGTCCCAGTCCAGTGTCAAACCTCAAGACATCCTTCTTCTCAGTAAATTTATGCAGGTCTTATGCAGTTAGGCCAGTTTCCAGCCATGCCTATATTTTCTTTGTGTTGCCTCTGCTACCTGATGACACGTGTGACTTTGTTTGAGCCAAGTAGTATAAAAGTACCATAGCTGGCAGCTTGTGGGATCCTGGCATGGCAGTTTCTAAGATACCAGCACGGAAAAGCCCAGTTTGGCTGGTGAAAAGCATTAAAGGGCTTTTAGTTGGGGGTTCAAAGGGAGAAATAACTGAGCTTGGTTGTAAGGGAGGCCTGTGTTTAACTTACAGAAAGTTAAATGGGGAAGCAGGGACACTTAGCCACCACCACTGTGGCTGTGTAAATACAGGGGACTGCAGGAATCTGTGCATCTGTCCATCATGAGCTGACTATAGACAGCACCAAAGATTTAATTGGAACCAGAATTCATAAATATGAATAAAAAGATACTTTTAAAAATTTACTTTTACTTGTGTAACCTAGGCATTGCGGGAGTTTCTGTACTCTTTTGCTGAATTAGACATGCCGTGGGTTAGTCAGTGAAAAGGGCAAGCTGGTAAATGACTGGGTTGATAACTTATTGCAGGCTACGAGGAGACATGCAAGAGAGACTCGAACATCGGTGCTGGGCTTCTGTAAGGCCTAAAGCCAAGGGGCTTTCAAAAATTTAAGGGAGAAGCAACAAAAGTTACCAAAAATGTAAAAAAGCTTTTTTCCTGTGCTTCCCCTCTTATCCTTTAAGCTATTACTGAGAGTTGAAAGAAACCATGATCTAAAAATGAGTTCAAAAAATGAAGACCTTGTCTGAAAGCCAATGTCTGATTAGCAATTATGCATCTCATTTAAAGCTGATGCATAAATGAGTGGCTAGGGATTCTGGCTTGCATTTCATTTTGCTCATCAGATGGTACAATATCCTGCAAAGTCACATATTGTGCCGTATTCCCTACATTATCTAACTTTCCTGCTAATTTCCATAATGCTAAGATTTGTACTCTAATCTATTGTGTGTGGTTGATTCCTTTCAGGTTGCTATGGGCTTCTTTCAGGTGGGCTTTGTCTCAGTGTACCTCTCTGATTCCTTACTCGGCGGATTTGTCACAGGTGCCTCCTTTACTATCCTAACATCCCAAGCGAAGTATCTCCTGGGCCTGGACATTCCACGCAGCAATGGCATTGGCTCCCTCATAACCACTTGGATAAACATCTTCAAAAACATCCACAAGACCAACATCTGCGACCTCATCACCAGCTTCTTGTGTCTCCTTGTCCTCGTCCCAACCAAAGAGCTGAATGAGCACTTTAAATCCAGGCTCAAGGCCCCCATACCCATTGAACTGGTTGTGGTTGTGGCAGCTACGCTGGCATCTCACTTTGGGAAGCTGAAGGAGAATTATGGCTCTAGTGTTGCTGGACACATTCCAACTGGGTTCCTGCCACCCCAGCCACCCAAATGGGATCTGATTCCAAGTGTGGCGATGGATGCTGTTGCCATAGCCATAATTGGCTTCGCTATCACTGTGTCTCTCTCAGAGATGTTTGCCAAGAAGCATGGTTACACAGTTAAGGCCAATCAAGAAATGTACGCCATTGGCTTTTGCAACATTATTCCCTCTTTCTTCCACTGCTTCACAACTAGTGCAGCTCTTGCCAAGACTCTTGTCAAAGAGTCAACGGGCTGCAGAACTCAGATCTCTGGGGTGGTGACCGCGTTGGTCATCCTATTAGTTCTGCTTTTGATTGCACCTCTCTTTTACTCCCTTCAGAAATGTGTCCTGGGGGTCATAACCATTGTGAACCTCAGAGGAGCCCTGCGGAAGTTCAGGGATCTGCCCAAAATGTGGCATCTGAGCAAAGTGGACACAGTGATCTGGTTAGTCACGATGGCCGCTTCGGCACTGTTAAGTACTGAAATTGGCCTGCTGATTGGTGTCTGCTTCTCGATGCTGTGCGTCATTGTGAGGACTCAGAGACCAGAGGCACCGTTGCTCGGCTGGGTGGTAGAGACTGAAATGTATGAATCCCTGTCTGCCTACAAGAACCTGAAGACTAAGCCAGGCATCGTGGTTTTCCGTTTCGAAGCGCCTCTCTACTATATCAACAAAGAATGCTTTAAATCCACTCTGTATAAGCGGACTGGAGTCAACCCAGCCTGGGTGAAGGCAGCCAAGAAAAAGGCAGCAAAGCGAATGCTTAAAAAGAAAATGGTGAATTCTGGTGGCAGCCAGGCGGACGTTGCAGTGCAGCTTGTCACCGAGCCACTGGTGTTTCACACCCTGGTGATTGACTGTTGCGCAATACAGTTCTTGGACACAGCCGGGATCCACACGCTTAAAGAGATCTGCAAAGATTATGGGGAGATAGGCATCCAGGTGCTGCTGGCCCAGTGCAATGCCTCTGTGAGGAGTTCCCTGCACCGGGGAGAGTACTTTAAAAAAGAGGAACAGAACCTCCTCTTCCACAGTGTGCACCAGGCTGTGGACTTTGCATTGGGTGCACATAAGCAAAATGGGTGCTGGGAAGGCAACAATTGTGTGTAGGATGAGGGAAAAAAATTGTGGATGTATACATAATGTGCGTGCACTCACATAGGTAAAATGCACCAAAGTACAGGGATATTGTTCAAAAACTGTAGTGTAGAGCATACAGTGTGCTTTAATGCTTTAATCTTGCCCTACTGGATAGGGTGATTATATATATATATATATATATAAGTAGTGCTGAATATAGGCATCCTCAATGTGATCGTGATTAACTTGTTAAACCAATGTTTTTCATGATCCTTCTGTGTATTCCCTGTTGGGCTCTCCATATCCCAGTATTTACCCCACATTTAGATCTGCATCCCCGAGACCCTTATTACAGCCACCATCTTTCTGGGTTGGACTTCCTTTGACAGCTGTCAGTGCTTCCCCTTAGTGCATAGTTTGAGGCAACTACAATTTTCCTCCCCAGTTCCAGGACTGGGCATGCTGCCTCCGTACAGGGCCGGCTCCAGGCACCCGCCGACCAAGCACGTGCTTGGGGCGGCACCTTAGAAGGGGCGGCACCTTAGAAGGGGTGGTCAATGTTGGGGTGGCGGGGAGCGCTCGTAGTGTTTTTTTTTTTGTTCGGCGGGGCGGCCCTCGAAGGATTTTTTGTTTTGTTTTGGCCGGGCAGCGCGGGAGGTGTTTCGGCGGCCCGGCGCTGGGGAGGGCGTGGGCTTTGGCGGCCTGGCGCTCCGGGGGTTTGGGTGGTGCAGCGCAGTGATCGGGGGGGTTGGGCGATCCGGCCTGGTGAGGCACTCAGGGTGGGGGTATGGCCGGCCTGGCGCGACGCGACGCGACGCCCCCGGGGATTTGGGCGGTCCGTGGGGGTGGGGGTTTGGCCGGCCCGGCGTGGCGCTCGGGGGTTTGCCCGGCGCTCGGGGGGGGCGTTGGGTGGCACGGCACACGGGGGGGCGGGGGTTTGGGTGGCCTGGTGCGGCGCTTGGGGGGGGGGTGTGGAGGCAGGGGTTTGGGTGGCCCGACGCGGCGCTCGGGGGGGGAGGAGGGGTTGGGCGGCCCGACGAGGCAGTGGGGGTGGGGTCGGAGGCGCGGCGCTGGGGCGGGGGGGGGTGTTACGGCGGGGCGGCACTCTTCTTTTTTGCCTGGGGTGGCAAAAAAGTTAGAGCCGGCCCTGCCTCCATATCACTCAGTCCTTGTGCTGGCCAAGGAATGAGTGAGCAGGAACAGATACCCAGCTCTGTTGGGTTGTTCTCTGACATGACAATGGAGAGAGTTTTTTGCTGGATGAGGACCTGGGCCTGACTTTCACAAAGAGTTACAATTTCACTCTGAGAAAAAGGAAGTGATAAGTAGATTCCTTGAGGTGTGTGACTTGTGCATGTTACGTATGCAGCAAGTCAGGCACTGAAAGAACTTCAGGACTCAGAGTGATTTGAAATCAAGACAGCGAGTCTCAGAGCCTGGGTCTGCAGATTTGGGCTCGCACTATGATGCTAAAACCAGCAGGATAGATGTTCGAGTTCGGGCCGGAGCTCAGGCTCTGAATCCCCCTTGCCTTGGGTTTCAGAGCCCAAGCTCCAGCCTGAGCTGGAATGTCTATTGTTAGTGTTTTAGCACAAGCCCAAGTCTGTAGACTCAGGCTCTGACACTTGCTGCCTTGATTTGTTTGAGTTCAGGCTGAGTGCATGACTCTGAGGGTGTGAGTTTTCATCCCTAATGGGAAAGTATTACATTTGATCTCACTGTCACATTCTATTGCTGTTATCAGAGAGATCTGCAGAGCAGGTACTCTGTATGTTCATACACCTTTGATTACACCTCTGATTGCACAGAGTTTAAGCGTCTTTTCAGAAATACAACTTGATGCCTTTCTAGCTTGCATGAGTTGGGTATATATTATACAGGCAGATCAGAATGAAATGCTTTAATAAGTAACTCCTCATAACCACTTCTAACCAAAGATGCCTTGCCACCTACTCTCTGACCTTGCCACCTATTACTCTTATCTAGTAGATAAGGATTGGAGCAATGATTTTCTTATTTACACACATGGCTGTATATTTGTCGGGAAAGTTTGTCTTTTTATGTTGAGTTCCTTTGGACAATCTTTATTTAAAGATTTTTAGAGCACAGTACCAGGAATGGATTATAGATGGGAAGCTGCAAGACAGGTTCAGTGTAGCCTGACTCATGCTTGACAGGTTTCAGGGTGGTAGCCGTGTTAGTCTGTATCAGCAAAAACAACGAGGAGTCCTTGTGGCACCTTAGAGATTAACCAATTTATTTGGGCATAAGCTTTCGTGGGCTAAAACCTACTTCATCTGATGAAGTGGGTTTTAGCCCACAAAAGCTTGATGAAGTGGGTTTTAGCCCACAAAAACTTATGCCCAAATACATTTATTAGTCTCTAAGGTGCCACAAGTACTCCTCTTTGTTTTGACTCATGCTTGTATTTAATTATTTGCTTTTATTCAGTTATTTGCCTAGCACTTAAGAGCAGTGGCATGCTATAGACAGAGCCCTACAGAATCATAGGAATTAGACCTAATCTATTATTTTCTGTAAAGGATTGTCCCCTGCAGTCAGTATTGTGTGCCATGCAGGTTGAATCATATATGTTAGAAATTGAAAAGGTGGGTGAGGTAATATCTTTTATTGACCCAACTTCTATTGGTGAGAGACAAGCCACCCCAGCTCTTCTTTACCTTGTCTCTCTAATAGGCTGGGACCAACATAGCTACCACAATATTGCAAGCAGAAATGAAGAAGGCCTTTTAGATTATCCGTCCCATCCCTAATTTTGCAACTTTAATGCAAACTTCATGTGCTATTCAGTAGAAACTAGTAACTTGTCCTTCACACATGCAAAGTAACTGTCTCTATGTAACAGGAAAGGGTTAATACAAAAGAAATGGAAACCAGTAACAGATCTTCAGCTGAGTTCTGTTTACACACACGATCGCCAACTCCACACATTCAAAAATCAAGAGTCACTCCAATAAATAAATAAATCATGACTGGCTTAAAAATTAGGTTAAATAAAAATACATTTTGTCTTCTGGTTTCTGAGCCTCTAGGGTATACTTGGTCCATATTTTCAAACTTTTCTCTGCAACCATGAGGGGTTGAAACTTCTTTATTTTTTAACATGAATGTGAGATGATTGTGTAATCACTTGACTCTAAGAGCAGGAGCTTTAAGAAAACACCAAATATCGCAAGACTTGCGATAGAATCACAAGACTTGGCAATACTGGAACTCAGAATCCTCAAATCTTCTGTGGTAGCATACAGGCATTTAGATAAGGTGTGATCGGATGAGGATTTTTCAGGTTCCTGAGTTAAGAGCTTTAGAACTGTTTAAAGTTTAAAAAAAAAAAATTTTTTTCAGAGAAATGTACTTGATTGACCAGAACATAAAATACTATAGGTAAGTTCAGGAATACATGATACATTAGATTAGAATTATTTTATAATGCAAAGAGTACAAAAATGCATTCCAAAATAAACTACACTAAACAAGTTCCTTTTTTCAGAGGATTTAAGAAGAATACAATTTATGATCTTTCCACAAAGTTTACAGTCCTGCACAGCTTTGAGAGAGGGAAATACAAGCAAAATTCATCTGTTTTAAAGGCTTGAGCTTGGGTTGTTTAGATAAGAAATTGCAATTGACCAGATCCTGCTGTCCTGCAGTAGTTTCCATGGCCATGCTCCCCTCAAGTCAGTTTTTCCTGAAGTTCCAGGAAAAACTTCCTTGGCAGTGTAAAGCATCAGTTTTGCAACGAGAAAGAGTAGCTCTTGTCTGGACATCAGTAGGAAAACGTTAAGCCTCCAGAGCGCTTAGAAACCTAAGCCTGCTTCTATAGCTCAACATTTAGGCGACTGTCAAGAGACAACGATTTTATCGTATGCACAATGACACTTTCTTGAAGACTTGAGACTGACTAAGTGTAAAAGCCTGTATATTCCAGCAGGGGGCTCTGCATGTTCACATATTGTAGGAAGAAAAAGCCAGCATATATTGAGAAATGTAGAGGTTAAGCACTAGAGGAGGAACTAAGCATGAGAGTAAATGATGAGAGAGCCCAATATCAGCCATCTCAGAGGCTTGACTGAATTGCTTTCAATATGATTGTTCACAGGACCATAAAGTGTGACAGGAACATTGATTTTATCCCAACCCCCCCGTTAAACTGTTAAACGTTAAACTGTTTAGTTTTAAATACTGATTAGAACAGCAACATATTTCAGGAGAACAGACCAGTGTTGGAGAAACATTGTCCTTTGGTATACTTATCACTTCCTAGTAAGTGTGAGGTTCCCACAAAGTTGCAGAACACTTGTTCAAAACTGTTGCTTATTAGCTTTCGTAAGAGAACCATAAAAAGATCAGGAAATACAGTTTAAAGCTGTTAATGCAGCGTGATTAAGACACATCTAGAACTAATTTATGTTCCACTAAAATGCATGTTATTTGGACACAAATAAGTGCTATTCTTCTACATGGACAACAATGGGTTTTTTTTCCTCTTATACCCAAATACCATTATAGACAAAACAAAAAACAGCAGCTAAACAGAAATACACCCTTTTGAACAATTTTGTGTAATACAAAAGTGTCCTGAGTGCCATAGCTTATGTGCAGGTTGTATATTAATACACACAACCCCACTCAGAAGATAAATAGATAAATGTCAACAAAGGCAGAGAACTGGAAAACTACAAATAATACATTTAAGTGTACATGGGCACTAAATAAAGATTAGAGTTTACCATTTTGCATGTTATGTGAAACACAGTTACCAGGGTATTTACTGTACTTGTGGCACTACTGATGAGGAAGAAGGTCTAAATGCACTAAAACCCAATTGTGTGTGTGTGTGTGTGTGTGTGTGTGTGTGTGTGTGTATGTTGGACTTTTAGTACTTTAGTGATACATAAAAGAAAAGAGGAAATCATTTGTGTCAGCATGTGGGAATACATCCTCCACTCCAGATTGTAGCAATAATTCTAGATAATACCTCCAAAACTCTGGGCCAGATCCTCATTTGGTGTGAATCGGCCTAGATTCATTTGACCAGAGCAAGGCTGAGCTACACCAGCTGAGAATTTAGTTCTCTGATACCAGAAATCCTTAATACAGCAATCACCAATCTGAATGATGGATTATGAAATCATTAGCACATTAATTCATTTTAATGACATGGCGCTATGGAAATTAATATTCACAGTCTCAGTTATATACCTGCCAAGAGACTTAATCTCTGCTTTTACTTAGAGCTGCTATTTATAGCAATTTCAATTGCTCCTAATGTAAGTATTGCACTAATAAACGCTTTAGTTGTTTAAATGTTTTGAAACTCAAACTGTTTTCAATCGACTTATTAATAAAAATAAATGACAAATGTACTGCAGTGAGTTACATAGCACTAATTTTAATCCTGGATTTATGACCACATTGTTAACCCTGGTCTTGTGGTTTGTAATGACCCTCAGTGGAATAATTTCCTTGTAAATCACTGCAGCCCCATCCATTTTTTTTTCTAATTCATTGTAAAATGTGGGCCATAAGCCATTTTGGCATTTGTTTCCCATGTTTTATTGTAAAAAGACATAGCATATGACTGACTGTGAATAGGACACCCATTGTCTTTGGAGATACTACTGTTACCTATGACCTTTTACACATTTTACCCTGTTTGCCAGAAGCTGGGAATGGGTGACAGGAGATAGATCACTTGATGATTACCTGTTCTGTTCATTCCCTCTGGGGCACCTGGCATTGGCC